GTGTGAGTGTGTGGTGGTGGGCGTGTGTGTGTGTGTGTGTTTCATGAAAGTGTAAGATGCATGAACAAAAAAGAATCACAGACTGCAAGAAAATTGAAGGATGATTACGAGAGCAAACAGCTGAGCTCACCTTCAGTATGCGGAGGCACGGGCGGCGGCGCCCTCGGGAGCGTGGCGCTGGAGTTGGTGTTGGCGGAGGCGGTTCTGGTGGTGCTCTCCTCGCCGCCGTCGGGGGCGCCCTCGACGTCGTACATGTCGATCTCGGAGTAGTGGTGGTCGTGGCTGGCGCGGCCGCCCCGGAGCGAGGCCTGGAGGGAGAGCCTCGAGGCGGCCATCTTGGCGAGGTCCTCCTTGGAGGGCCGTCGCGGGCTCTCGACTGATCCTCCTCTCCCCCGCTCTCGCCCTCCCCCTCCTCCTCCTCCTCCAGAGGCGGGAGGGGCGTCGGGGATCCTCGCCTGGTACTCCTCCGGGGTCCTCCTGCCCTCATTCTGCTCGCCGACGGGCGCGGGGGCGCCGTCCCCCTCGAGAGCGGCGCCGGCGCCCGCGGCCACCAGCATTCCGTTCCGCCGGTCGAGCGCGCGCGGGCTGGCGTTGGTCCTCCTCGGGACGGCGCGCAGGCGCTCCTCGGCGTCGGGGCTCGAGGGCCAGGGCGCGTCGCCTCGCTCCCCGCGGCCGAGGCTCACCAGCTCGATGTCGCTGGACGCCTTCGAGGCCACGGAGCCGCGGCTCACGGACTTCCGGTCCCTGGCGCCGGGCGGGGCCTCGCTCGCCCAGCCGGAGGGCGACGGCGACGCCCTGGCGGAGGAGCGGCTGGCGAGGGAGAGGCGCGGCGGGGGCGAGGCCGCCGACGACGCCGCCGACGGGCAGAACCTCTTCTCCAGAGACGGCGACGAGAGGTCCGAGCTCGACGAGAGGTGGAAGGGCGGCGGGCCGCGGCGAGGCAGCGGCGGAGGCGCGTCGTCGGCGAGGGACACNCTCTTCCCCCTCTCTCTCTCTTATTCTCTGTCTCGCTCCGTCCCTCTCTCTATCTATCTCTCTTCTCTCATCTCTCTCTCTCTCTCTCTCTCTTTCTCGGTATTTTTCATAAAAGTATGAAGACTCATTTTGCAAAATGGTACGATGTAAAAACTGCTCTCTCTCTTCGGTAACACACGATCCATTGATTTATTGCTAAGAGATCAAAATGAGCAATTTTTCAAAATAAGATTGCAGCATGTGATAAAGACTTTTGGCCTTAGCACTTTGTACTCCAGCAAAAGCCAGCATACCTCCACCATTTATGTTCAGAAAATTAGGGCTTGACCTGGTTTCTTGGAAGGTCTGGAAGCACTTACTTTGCCAGAATATACCTATGATCATGGCCTGCAGTGAGCAAATGCAGGCCAGTACAAGGCAAAACAGGAAGAGTTAACAGTTAACATCCCCCTTTAAACCTCACATTTAAAATTTTTATGCACTTAAAAGAATTAGCCAAGAAAATGTATAGTACTATTCTGTTTACTCATGAAAACATGTATAAAGTGAGGGCACAAAAAGCATCCAGTTTTCCATCTGATTCCATATGTTGTTAAATCCCT